AAAATGAAACTCAAATACTTTGGCCACCTAATGAGAAGGAAGAACTCAGTGGAGAAGAGACTAATGCTGGGAAAGATTGAGGGCAAAAGAAGACGACGACAGAGAATAAGGTGGCTGGATGGAGTCACTGAAGCAGTAGGCGTGAGTTTAAATGGACTCCAGAGGATGGTAGAAGATAGGAAGGCCTGAACGAATGTTGTCCATGGGGTCGCAATGGGTAGGACATGACTTTGCAACTAACAACAACATGTTGAAAAAGTATCTAATGATAGTCCAGGAAGAGGGGGGATGTTTCACTGTAATGAGCATGGAAACTTCTATCTCTATTTAGTTTGAATGTCTTGGTCCCAAACCCACTGTTTAAAATCAGCTAAAACTTTATTAAGTATGAAGAGAGCTATTGCCAGAATAAGAAAGACATACTATGCAAGACCATGATTGGTTTACCATTTCAGGGAGGAGACAAGCCAGTCTGGTATGGTGAGATGGATCAAGAAAGAAAGTTGAAGAGTTTGCTTCAACCACAATCCAAGATGTCTTAGATGAGTTCCAAAGAAAATGCAGCCCAATTCTAACCATATGAAAGCATTAAGAGACCCATTTGATTGCTTTTAAGAATTTTGGTTGGATGAAGCTTGAGGTATCTTTGTGGATGCAACATTGAATATGATATAACATCAAACTCAGAACTTTAGTTTTAAATAATGTTAACTGCTGCTAGGACATAATTGTAACCATATAGGCTTCATTACTGCTTATACATTTCTTACTTTAAAAACATAAAACATCTATGATTCTCTGCAAGTCACACTATTCTTAGAAGCATTGCATTCAGGATGAAAATTCTCCTATCAAAATCATACCCATCTCTTCATAATGATTAATTATGTGACTTGGTGTTGGATGAAGGCTAGTTCAAAAGTTTTGTAAAGTTTCAAAAAATGTACATGGATAGAATTAAAAACAAGCAAGTTCTTTCATGGGATATTCATTCTCACCTCTTTATAACAGAGTGCTGCTGAAGGCCTTAATGGAGGTGCAGGTCGTAAACAGCTCAAACTCCATGGCTTAGAAGTTTTAGGTGGCTCCAGTGGTCCCCAGTTTATAGTGGTGTGAGGTGTCCCATGATGTGAAGGGTGTGGAAGGGTATGATAGACAGGAGTCATCGGCATTTGCTTGCTATCTGCATGCTTGCTAGATGGTGTTACAGGATGAGATGGAAGCTGTCCATTTGAACAACAAAGTCAGAAAGGACCAAAAAAATGAATACAATGAATATCATTGGATTATGGATTTTGGCACTATTCCCATGAACAATTACTCTACCTTATTTACGCTAAACTAGTAAGTAAAAGGTAAAGGACTCCCTGCGGATTTTACTTTGCTAGTTGTTGCTGACTATAGGAGGTGGTGCTCATCTCCATTTCAAGGCCCTTAAGCCAGTGCTGTCCAAAGACATTTCTGTGGTCATGTGGCCAACATGACATCATGGAGCACTGTTATCTACCCACTGAAATGATACCTATTTATCTACCCCCATTTGCATGCTTTTGAACTATTAGGTTGGCAGGAACTTGGGCGAGGACAGGAGCTCACCCCATCATGTGGCACATAGGGCTGCCAGCTTTCCAGTCTTAACTACTAAGCCACCATCTGCCCTGCTAAATTAGTTATTACTGGTGCTATTAAACATGCAGCAGGAACATGCAATGCTTTATATACTGGAATTTGTTTCCTTCAACTCTGCTGTATACAAATATTAACAATGAGTTAACTTGATAATATAAATACATTTTTCAGTATTTAACCAATGTATATATTACTGGAACTTTATAGATCAAGCAAATGATATAGCTACTTTCCATGAGAGTATTACTAGGTCCACAAAAGGGTAACGTCAATAAGGAAAATAACTGCGTATTTTTTTCTCAGCCTGGATGACTTTTGTCTGAAGATGACAGCAAAGCAGCAAGAGGTTTGGCTACAATTTTCACAATCCTTTCTTATATAAATAAATCACAATCAGAAATCATTTCACCATTTTTTTATTCAATTTAAAATGCTACTGCTAAAAAGTAATTTTAGCATTGCAATTTAATTATCAGCTTGTGTCAAGCTACAGTTCTAGTTATAATATAAATATGTTTTTTTCAGTAGCTCCTTGACAACAGGTTGGGCCTCTTTAATTTATATGTAGTGGACTAAAGACAGAGGTCCTTACCGTATGAGAAGGAACAGAATGAGGTTTAATTGCAGGAGTCCCAACAGTTGTTACTTTGGTTTGTTTCTGCAGATGATCTACCCACTCATGCAAATCTTGTTGATTATTACAAGATACCAATATCCGCTCTATCATATTGCCTGGAACCAAATAGAAAATGCTGAACAAAAAAAGTAAAAGAAATAACTACCTTTTAAAAAGTATATACTGCTGAATTGTCGTATAAGGTATAGCAAATACCCATATGTCTTAATTTTTTCTATACCTATGCAATACATTAGGTGCCTTCTCCACATTAGAGTACAAGAATTTGTGCCAACCATGATATCAAATTTATGTTCCTGCTTCGGAGAACTCTGAATATGTGTAATATCTGGCTTTAAGATTTGTGAGAAGGTTGTAAGTGCAAATTCATGCATGGAACATCTTTGCTGGAGATTGCCTTATTGACAACTACTTGACCTTTAAGATGATGGCCATTTCCTATATTCATCAGTAAATCAGTAAAAATAGTAGTTGCTCAATTTGGTAATCAGCAGAAAACTCACTGGTTGCCAATGTATTTCCAAATTCAGGCCAAAGTTTTTTCTTCTAAAGTCCTCAAACGGTACTTACTCCTATAATGCAAGTTCAGCTAAGAAAGTTAGGCCATTAATGATTTGAGAGAAGATCATTTCCTACAATGCCCTAATTTCTTCAATGTTTTTATAACGTATCTTTCTCTAAACCTACAAATTAAGTGGAGTTTATTCTAGCTGTGGATAATATGCCTTTATTAGTTTTAGATTAATTTACATTCTAGGATACTTTTTAGTTGCAACGAACCCTATCTTAAGTTCATATTTAAAGAGAAAATAAACATGCATTTAAACTAAATAAATTTTAAGTGGGACGATGCAAAACTAGAGGGTAAGCTTGGACTATATTGCTGCTGACTTAGCAGACTTCCAGCAGGTTTAGACCAGCCTTTCTTCTGCCTGAAAAAACTGTGGGGTTACAATACCCATGTACACCAGACTGTTAGACCAGTGGACATGCTTGCTGGAGATTATGGAGTTGAAGAAAACCAAGATGGAGAACAGTAGTTTAGAAAATGAACAAGTTCCAATTCTGGTAACATTGTTTGCTGCATATTCACAAAAAAGCCAAAATGAACAAAAACATTACCTGATATTTCAAACGAGTTTCTGTGATTTTCACTATCTTCTAGTTTTGTGATGGTCATCCCTGTTAATGGAAGCTTTCCCTAAAAGCAAATGCATGATTATTATTTCACTTAATCCATCAAATATTACTGAATAATAAAATACGGAGGAAACTTTACCATAATTGAAATTAAGGCATATACATTCTGATACCGAAGAAAGTTCTAGATGCCTATACATGCTGCTTAATTATTAATTTATTTACCTAAAAAGCCTTTGCTTGCAAAAAATGCCATAGCAAGATTGTAGTTAAATGATACAAATGGTTCTACAGTTTGAAAGAATAGTTTATGTCCACATATTATATCTGAGTTATGTCCATTGAGGTAAATCTTAAGTCACAAGAACAAACTTCACATGCAGTTTAAGTGCCCCTTCCTCTTCCCTGTTCCACCCTCCTTACTCCCATGAACTGTCCTACACATGGTTGAAATCTGTTCTGAAAAAAAATCAAGACAAATCTAAAGAGTGCATAGAGAGAAAACTAATAGTGTCCTGACTCTCAATTAATTGGCACAACTGGCAACCTATTGAAAATAACCATTACCTTGGCCAAGTTCACCTCATCCACTACCACCCCATCCTGTTTTAAGCATAACTATGCCTGCAGTTCTCAAATTATTAATGTTTGGAATGTTTGGAATGTTTATTATAATTTATAGGCCGCCCTTTTCCCTGAGGGGACTCAG